TAAGCTTTCTTTTGAATATTAAATTATTAAAATTCATCGAGATAGGAGCTGTGAAAGTTAAGGTATTAATTTTTTTAAAATGTCAATTTGCCTTATTTCTATTGACGGCAGCCCATATTATACATATCTGTAAAATATATATTTAATACATTTTTAATTAATGATTTTATCGATTAACACATTCAAACATAGGCACATTTAGCAGGAGCAGTTTTTGGAATACTATATAGCAAGTACGGACAAGAACAATATCGGAATATTCAAAGTATTTTGAGACGATGATAAAAAGTTTCGTAATTTAACATTTTTTTAATGTGATAAACTCCTTGTATTATACTTTGAGAGTAAAATTGAAATTTTATTACAAATGAATTGTCTATTCTTTAAAAATAAAAACAGTAATATAAAGGTATTAACACATGTTTTTATGTGTGATATACAATCTTTTGTTTTTCTAATATTATTACAATTATAATAAATAGTCGACAAATAATACGATATATATATACTTTTTTTTTTTTATTAAATTAAAGTAAGCCGTTTACCCCCATAAATTCACCTAATGCTAATTCCGTAATTATTTCTCTATATGCTTAATCCATCTAAAATAAAAGAACAAATCTCAAAAGGTTCAGTAAAATTTCTCGTAGCTTGAAACTTTATAAAACTGATAGGGTCATTTTTATTTTCTTCCTCAAAACATTTAAAATCCATGGTGATTATATTACTTTTTGGTATATCAGCCGAATCAAAATCCATGGCGATGATATTATTTATATCAACCGAATTGTAGTCTTGAGCTTCATAAGATGATTCAAGTTTATCACAAGTTTTCTAGAAAGTTATTTTTAGATAATGTTATAAATAGGTCATATAAACAGTGAATAAATAAAATACATGAAATTTACCCAATTATATCCGTCAAAAGAAATTTCAACGGTAAAAGACGCATCAAAATTACTTATATCGTTCGAGGATATAATAGTAACTTTGTTGTATGATTTTGGTTCTACAAATTGTAGTCCAAAATAATCACCCTCTTTAGGTACTATTTAAGATTAGAAGATTATTAAAAATAATGATTAAGAATAAATTAAGGAAATATAAGAAAATTTGGTTTACTTTTAAATGAATTCCAACAAGTGTTTAGATTCAAATCTACGGCATTATGATAAGCATGTTTTTCCCAGAAGTCATTGCTTGGAAAATCCAAAGCATTGAATTTAGCTTCTTGTTCATGAACATGGGTAACATTATTCGCGTAATAAACACGAGATGGATGAGGAAATGGGTCGATATTCGTGATGAAAAGACATTTATCATTTATGCACGGTGCTCTATGTATGTATGAATGAATGAATGAATTGATTCATAAATATTGAATAAAATACGGAAGTAGACATGTTTGAAATAACATTTGAAATGATATTAAATAAAGGTACCTGACATCGCGTTCGTGATAATAAGGAGTTTCTTCCACGCGTTCAAAATGATTGAAAATTGGTTTGACAGCTAATGCAGTGTATAATTTTTGAGCCGCATCAAGCTAATAAAATTTGAATTAAAAAATATTAATAAATGAAGGAGAGAAAGAAGCATCAATGAAAATTTTTTTTTAAAAAAAATAAATAAATAAATTTAGATATATTACAATATTACTATAAACTATGGACCATTGATCAACGCTATTACTCCAGCCGTTATCTTGATCCAACGGAGTTAAAGGATTAGAAAGTTGATAAGGATACTGATTTGTCCACAAAGAAAAGTACATATCCGCAAGTTTAAGACGGTCTTTGGATAATGAAATATAACCAAGTTGACCGAGAAACTTTTGAACTTTTGCTCGTGAAATAAAAGAACCGCAACCGAGCCAAGTGAAACCGGTATGAATATTCTTATCTGAAACAAGACGCTATATGAATGAATTAAATATATTAATAACATTAAACTTGATAATTACACAACCATGAACTTACCTGCATTAGAAAACATCCATCTTCGATGTTCTAAATGGATAAGTGGCATTGTGTTTGAATGAATCAGACTGGGGTTTTTGAGGAAATTAGTATAAGTACTGTCCATATATAAATTTAGCCAATCATCATCTTGGAAATAACAGTAGTCATATTCAGCCATAGAACATGTTATATATTTAGAAAGATCATGAAGATTTTCATCAGAATTAAACACATTCAAAACTACATTTATATTATTATTGAGTTTGAAATCCTGGGATTAAATGAAAAGAATAATTAATATTATATTAATTATTATAATTAAATAAATTAATATGTATCACAATTACCTCAACATTAAGCCTTGTTTCATTGTTATTATTCCATATCAAGATTTCTTTTATAAAAGGATATTTTGACATATAATTCACCACTACCTTCAAACTTTCAGTACGCTTCCAACCCAATATTACTGCAGTAACGGGAATGAGCTTATTTCTTTTTAAAGCGTCTTTAGTAAATTGTTCAGGTTTATAAAAACTTGATCTGGAACTAATCTTTTTATTCAGATCGGTTTTCCAAGCTATTTGTGAACTATCAGTTTCTGAAGAGTCAGAGTCTAATAATCCAGTTAATTCAGGCAATGCACGAGGATCAGAATAGGGTCGAGGCTTTATAATAATGATCAATATAGTCGCGCCGAATAATAATACAATAAGAACGAATCTAAGATTACTTCTACGACTAAAAAGGCGATTATAAAATAATGACGATCTCCTGTAACGAAATGGGTCGTTTCCTTGTCCTTTTTCGAACATTGCTAGAGCCTTTGGAGTAAAGACTCTTTATACACTATAAAAAAAAAAGAATGTATACGATGGATATTGAAGAATTCTAATTTCTGGGTTTACCCGAATATATATTATGTGTTACTTTAATAATGTTAGGCTTGGCTTTATCACGTGATTGTTTGATGTATGCGTTCCGCACGCTTCTGCGCACATCGAATTTTTTTTACACTGCATATATAACATACAAAGAAAAAGATTTTTGTGGAGAAGGCTGAACTTGAATTATTATTAAATTGGTATGTACATGTGATGAAGGTAAATGATATGTTGTTCGTCTTTTTTTGGTTGCAGGTATTCCATTGAAAACCAATATCAAGTGTGTATTACCAAACAATCTATGCTATTATTCGAAAAAAGTGTCGTGGGAGACATGTCAAGACGACGAATCAAAAAAAAGAATGCCATAAAAATCGCCATTGTTTTTGCAGTTGGTTGAAAAAAAGCTCCTCGTCTGTATCTGATATCATTTACGGTTAACAGTTAAATAAGATATAGTTTAGTATGGTGTTAGAGAATCGCGAATATGTGTATATATAATTTTTTTTTAATAACAATGAATATAACAAAAAAAAATTCTATTGTCGAAGACTTTGTTTAATATTGTTCACTTTACGAATTAATGATTTCAATAATAAAGAATTTAAAAGTTATAAAGAATTATCAGAGAATATATAAAAGAGCAATTCTTTGAATCTTTTACACGTAATAACCTTTGAATTTATAGATACCTTGTCAATAGTAATAAACGCGTTAATTGTCATTATCATACGGGGTTCTTTACGTTATAATATAATTCAACAGATTTATTGTTATAAAACACGTCAAATAAAACGACATTCATATTTTATATATATTTGACCATGGCAAGAACAAAACTTTTACCGACACTTCGGCTGTTTCTAACTTTTTGGTTAGGCTGTCAGACGATAAAAGTTGTTACCTTTTTACATTTTTTAAATAAAAAACATGGTTACGATCCAATAGGTAACGAATACGCTTGACTACGTATTAATTATTATTGTCTTTATTAGCAAAAAAATACTGATATATATATATATATATATATAAATATATGAAAAAAGTTGCGTTTGTTATAGGAATTCAATCTATTGCCCCACCAATAGTTGTAATAAACATAGTTACATGGATAGTATTCTGGTTTGATAAACAACAATCGAAATTGCAAAACTGGAGAACTCCAGAAAAGGAATTACTTTGGTGGTTATGGACAACTGGTAATTCTTTTTTTCTTTTAAAAGCGCATAATAAAAATTTATACGTTATGTATAATGCGATACGTATATTTGAAATTATATATATATAGGAATTTTTGGTGGCTGGTTTAGTATGTTTGGTATGTATATACAAACGAGTCTCGTTATACGTATTACCGTATTCCTCCGAAAATAAGCACCCCTGGCCTGCATTATAAATAATTTGGCCTGAATTATAACTATCTTGGCCAACATTAAGTGCAAAAAAGGGGTGCTTATTTTCGGAGGAATACGGTATATGGAAATATATATAGATAGATATATATATTAGTAAAAAAAAAATCTTACGTAGTCATTACGACTTATATAAATATAGTATTAATAAGTTGATGATTAAGATTATTATTAAGTTATATATAATAATGAGACTCACTTGCACTTATATATCATAAATTAATTTTTTTCTCATACAGTATATCAATGATTTTTTTTTCTTGCAGTATGCCGACACAAGATCAGAAAACAAAGTTTCATGATAAAAGCATTCATATTCTCTATTTTTAACTTAACTTGGTTCCTATTTTATTTGATTTTGGGCATACCTAAAATTGCTACGTATAAAACCATTACAATGACACAATTATCGTTGTAATTTTTTCTGTATAAAATTGTAAATTGTAATAAATAGATTGTTTAATGAAATTTTTTTTCAATTCAAATATAACCAAACAGTTTATCTTGTTCAAGCTAATATCTAATGTTAATAAATTTACACAATTTAAGAACAAATATAAATAATTATTTATTGTGAAAAGGTCATCATTACTAATATTATTTGTACTGTATAATTAAAGGCAGAAATTGATTTCAAATGTTTCGATTTCACAAATTGTTCTTATTACAATTAATGAAAAAAAATAAAGTATTAAAAAAAAATGCCACGGAATCGAAACACTTACAATAGATCAAACTTCTTTCAAACATTAACAGAAGATTAATTTACAAATTAAGCTTGTTCCAACTCTATTCTTAAATAAATGTCATTTATTCTAACTACTTTCATATCCTCTTTTCAAACTACGCTCACGTTTGTAATTCCCTCCAATTGTACCTCTTCTCTTAGGTGAATTAGTTGAATCGTCATCCGTGCCATCACCATTTCTAATTGCATTTGCATTCGCTTTTCTCTCCAAATTTTCTATCTCTTGGTCATGTACTCGTTTAAGGTGTGATATAGCCAATGTTTCAATTATAGATAGTGCAAAGTAAGCTAACATTAGATTAAAAAGTGTATTCCATGCGAGTGATATGTAACTCGGGTTACCCTAAACATACACAATTAAACATTGTATCTTAAAAATATATCATAATAAATTTATACAAAATTATGAATGAATTACTGACAACGTACCGGTCCAATATCATATGCATCTTCTCCTTTTTCACGTCTTAACATTCTAGTTTGTCGCTGAATCATGTTTTCCAACTTATCGTGTATGTAAGGAATATATTTTTGTGTAAATTTCAAAATTGTTTCAATAGTATCTCGAGAGAACAATAATATCACAATAATTGACTATTATGTTCGATGTATGAAATAATATGAAATAAGTTTATGTTCTTGTGTGACCTGAAAATATTTTAATTTTATACGGATATAATAATATACCTGTATTGAAGATTTCACTACCGCTTTACCAAGAAATGTCGCTCCAAAGAATGTTGAAAAAGGAACTAAAAATTGCCCACAAATAATTCCTGCCAAATCGAATAATGGATTGGGGATCTAATAATTTTAAAATTTTCATTGATATTATAAGTAATTGTATAAATCCTGTAAAGAATGTTCCCATATGAACAGTTCTCACCGATGCAAACAAAAATATTCCGAAAAACCCCAATCTACGTAACAGTCTATGGGTTGTCATAAGTAATTTTTCTTTCATTGTCATTCTTTCAGGCGATTGTTCCAGCAAAGCATTGAGTTGCGCCAACTCTTCGCTTCGACTTCCAGATAAAGCAGCTACCATCATGTTAGCGAGACAAATAGTTAGCAACGATCATGAACCAATTCTCTTCATTTATTATATTCCAACCCGCATTACCAGCTCTCGCAACAAAGTACGGTGGCAGTTCGCCCAATGCAGTGCCAAGTCCCCAGAAGAAAGACTCCCATTGGACTTTACTGACAACACTCCAAACCGAAATAGAAATTGGCGTTGTTGTTACCATAGGCTGACATCGAAATCTTTTAAATTGTCATTTAATTAGTAACTTTATAAAAAATTTTTCAATAAATGCTTTTAATATATATATATATATATATATATATATATGAAAAAAAAAGAAAAAAATTATCATACCTATTAGGTCCAAAAATCTCAAAGTCAAGATTTCCGCACTTGTTTGCCGCCCATGTTACTTCCGCAATAAAAGGTCCGAGAAATAACACAAAGGTATGTAATCCGGTACCAAGGCCTATCGAAGATGCGATTCCCAAACAAATCCAATAACAATACCAAAACACTAAAGTTTGAACTCGATATATAATCTAGATTCAATGTGTAATAAAATCTGACGTCAACCTTTAAACCGAAATGTAGATAGTTCTTGAAAACTAAGCTTTACTTTCATTTTACCTCTTTATGGGCTCCTTCGACCAATAATGTAAATTGAATTAACACTCCCAGCACCGGTACTGCTGTCAAAACCCATTTTCTCGATCTCGCATATTCCACTGCATTTTTGGCCTGGTGGATGACATATGACAGGAAGTATGTCATAACAAGAACAGGTGATGTATATAATGAAATTGTAGATCGCTGCTTTTCTAGAGCATTACGGCGCCTCTTTATGAAATCTAAAGAAAAAAAATTTTTAAAATTATTTGATTTATCCGAATTCACATATAAGGATGGAAAAAATTTTAAATATTCAACAATCTAACCATCAAAGCTTTCCTTTAATACATTAGTTTTTCTTATCACTTTTGGAGACATAAGTCCGTCGTCTGTGGAGCCTCCTTCACTAGATTCTTCACCATGAAGATTTGGTATGCTTTTACTTAGACTTTTTCGTCCCTTCCTATTCTCTACAGAACTATTATTGGGACCTGGTGATTCTGATATTTGGATCGTAGGAATCCTTCTGCAAGAATGCAAAGAACATTATCATTAAAAGCGGATCGAACAAAAAAGAAAAATTAACCGAAGTACGGTAAATTTTAACCTACAGGGCAGCGGGAGAGAGAGGTTCAGCGTCCATGACAGCCTTTCAAATTTATTAAAAAATAATACAGACCTGTGAATTATTTACTAATAAAAGAACAAACACAACCCGCGAAAACGGATTAAAATATGATATTTTAATACAAAATTGAATTAATTTTACCTTTATATATTTTTGACCCGCAGCAGATCGGATCTTCAGTAAAATTGCATTAGCCAATAAGTTATCGCCTAATATACACTTTTCTTCATGCGGCTAAAAGTTATAAACACGTGCAAAGTCCAATTCCGTAAAAAGTGTATTTGTGAACTTTTAACAATCGGAAAAAATTCTGCCAAAAAAAAAAACAGGGCGAAAGAGCTTATAGTCAAACAATGCAATTAACACTATTCAGAATAAAATGCATCTATTTCTTTTTAGGCTACTATGATCAAGACAAAGTATTTAAGTTAATGAATTTTATTATACACCGTAATACACTGTATTTGTATAGCATCTAAATTTTTTGATAAGAATTAATAATTAGGCAATTTTGATTCGCTAAAACTCTATTTTACTAGTGTAACTAACACAGTAGAATATTCTTTAAACATCAAAAAGTACAGCAATAGCACACATATATAGATTAATATGGCATAAATTTAAAATGCTATAAATCCAAAAATAAATATTTAAATTTACAATTGTTTCTTTTTTTTTTGTTTTTTTTTAATTTAATTAAACTTAAAGACAAAAATTTCAGTTACTAGTGAAATTAATTTTTTTTTTAAAAAAGTTGTTAAAGCTTTTATACAAACTATAATACGCAATTATAAAATTGGATACGTGTATGATACAAAAAGTTCTAACTAGACAGTCTTTTTAACTTTTTACATAGAACTTGATAAACTCGTAAAAAAACTTTTAGACTGCCGTTAAATTATTATTATTATTTTATATTAGCCTATACGAACTTAATAAATTAGCAGTGCTGGTATTATATTTAATAAAATTTTGTTTGAATATGAATATATGGATATATAAAATTTTATTTATGTTAAATAAAATTTTATATGTTCAAATTTACTTAATTGCCAATACTGTACTGTAAATTAGTGTTTTTAAATAAAATAGCTTACCGTATTTTCGCGAAATAACGCGCAGGGATAGGGATTGGAATCGGTTTAGTCGACTAAACATAGTAGCTTACTATAAAAATTTTTTAGTCGACTAAACTGATTCCAATCCTTACGCAGGAATGTAATTTCGAAATTTGGCCCGAATCAAGCTTAATTCGGGCCAAAATTCAAAATAACGCCCCTGCGCGTTATTTCGCGAAAATACAGTAAATGTATGTTTGAATAATTAAATATTAGGGTTGGGAAGTGTGATAGCTTAAATGAAGTAGTCTAGTTGTTACTTTACCAAATTGCATGTTTAAAGTTCAAATCCTATAGTGTTCTCAAGCACTCATCTTAATGAATTTAATAAAAAGTCTAATTGGCTAGTTTGATTAAACTGACCAATCAGATTTGTTATTGAGTCTATTGAGGTAAGTGCTTGAAAACACCCATATAGTGTTCCTAGTTGGTAAAATTTTGTTAATCAACTAGTTGCCAACTAAAGTTGTCAACTAATTGATTATTTATATCATATGATATTTTCAAATATTGGCCAATCAAATCCAAGAAATTATTCCGAATTATTTCAAATAAGCAAAATATATTAATTGAATGATTAATTGTTTAGTTGTTTAAAAATTTTTCAAATCAATTAGTTGAAAAGTTGTCAACTAGTTGGTTTTTCAACTAATTTTTTTTTTTTTTTTTTTTTTAATTCTTCAGCAAGTCTCGCTGTGACTTTGGTTCCAACTATTATATAGATGACCCTAGTACGCACACTACTTAGGGTCACGGGACTTCTATAACCCCATACAGGTACTATATATATCCACCTAGAATTCTGTTGCCCGACATTCTCTGGTTCCCTTATTGGGTCTAGATCCGACCGCCTGCACGACACTCTGGAGAGGTCGAATCACCTTTCTATTGTACTGGGATTTCACTAGCCAATCTGGTGTTGCCACGAGTTCTTGTAGTATCTTTATCAGACTTTGGCCTCACATTACGTCTCATGACTTCGGTTATTCCAAATCGGGGTTCTAATACGCCTCGCTTCACAGCCACAACTTCTCAAAATAACTATTCCTCGAATACGTCTATCCGTAGATATCCCGGGTTTTCTGTACCCCGCGGTGTTTCACTTCTGTTTTCAAATTTTTATTAATCTGCCATTGGGAGAAATTGAACTGGCAACCATTCGATTTGCAACCTGGGTGCATAACCGCTATACTATCGACCCACAGGTCAGTTTTTCAACTAATAATTTGGAACACTACATCTATAGACAATGATTTTGAAAAATAAACCTGTATTTAGTAATAATTATTTAATAATTAATTAGATTAGAATTTGTAATTTTAATAACACTATTTCAAATAGAAGCTTTAATATATAAATACCAAAAAACAAGAATTATCAAAACCTATTTGAGAAAACCTAAATAAAAATTAATAAAAACTTTTAACAGTCCTACAAAAAGGCTAAATTTAGAGCAAAAACTGAGATCAGAAAACTAAGTGACAATAGATTCTTAAATAAAGAAATTTACCAACTAGATTATCAGTTTAAGATATATTAGAAAAAAAAAACATATGTTTTAAAAGTATATATTAAAGAAAAATAAGCCAAAGATATTTAAAGCTAAGCCAAGATTAACTCTTTTAAGTTATTAGCTAGAAATAAGAAAAAGATTAATAAAAAATTTAAAGAAAAATAAAAGTCTAAATATAGATATTAGAGTAAATATAAACTTTACAATAGTAAAAAACATATACAGCTTAGATAACTAGGCTTGTTAGTATATAGATCAAGCTATAGTAGACAGTTTATACTATTGTTACAAAGTAGGTTGTAATACAATATAACATGTATCTACTTATTTGTACTAGTAATACAAACCTCTAAAAAAAAAATAGCCAATTAGAGAACACAAATTTCAGGTATTTTGAATTAGCCTAATATAGAATCCAAACATATGCGAAAAAAAAAAAAAGCAAAAAAAGCAAAAATACTTAAAAACTAGTATTTAAATTGATCTTTGTAACTAATTTTTTTTTTTTACTTTAATAACCTCATACAAATTTATTGAATTACTTAAATTTGGCTTATTCAATATATGTATTTGGCAGTACTTGGCTACTCGAAAAGTGCCCAAATATGGTTATTGAACTGGTATTTGCCAACAGAACCTATATATGATGCTATTTATATTTAAAGAACTGCTCTAGCATATTTTAGCTACTATATTAGAACTATATCTATTCTCTTCTAATTTTTCCTTCTTTTTAGAGACAGCCGATAGCTTAAAGTAAGGGAAAAATTTTTAAACAAAACAAATAAGAAAACAACTAAAAAAATAAAAAAAAGATCAAAAAGAAATAAAACAAAATCCTAATAATATTAATAATCTGCGCTAAGTCTAAAAAATTATATACTATATATAAAACTAATCTAGTTTTAATTTATAATATATGTGGACTTATTCCTTTTTAAACTTTTCATTTCTTCTAAGAATAGCCACCAACCGAAGCAGAAAAACAAAAAACAAAAAGAAATAAACCAAATTCTAATAGTACTATTATTGCTTGTACAAGGTTTAAAAAATTATATACTATATATAAAACTAATATAATCTAGCTTTATTTATAATATATGTAACCTTAAAATAGTTTAAAAACTTTTATCACAAACCCAATGAATCAATATTTGCTTATTTCTACACATTAAGCTAAACGTTGTAGATCACTTATGACTATTTTGTAACTTTCTTTCTGATTTAGTAAGTACACAATGCAGTTAGAAAATATACTGTATTTGAACAATACTGATCACACCTATTATGGTAATAGAGTGTCAATTGAATGATTTTAAAAATTTTAATTATGTTGATCATTAAAAGCATTAACCAATTAAATCAATTAAATATTATACTATGTAGTATTAGGTAAGCAAAAAGTTTATTTCTTTTATACATACTATGTATATACTAAATATTATTAATTTTTTTTTTATATTTAATAGGCAATCTGCCAGTCACCTGAATAAAAAAATTTTTTTTTATATATAAATTTTACTATAAATGCGAATGCACAGCGCTTCTATCTAAAACTTTTTTTTATATTAAATAAATCACTCTTTAGCTTCTAACAAAAGTTGTAGAGCTCATCAAAATGTATTTAATACTGTAAAAATATCAAAATCGGTCTAGTAGTTCTTAAGAAATCTTTAAAAACTTCTTTTTTACATATAAAATTTCTTTAAAAAAAATTGATTTTTTTAAAAAAAATTTATATATAAGGCCATACAAAATTGATTACTTGGTTTTCATAACATGAAACTTTTAAATAGACCCGGCCGGCCGG